TACGTGATCGTTTTAAATTACATGGTATACGTATTGGGCAGAAAGGCTTCAAATTTGATGCAGATAATATGTATGCACCACATAATTATATACCACGTTTAGTTGCTTATACAAGTATTGTTTGATGCTTATTTCAATTTCACATAACATAGATATGAAAAAAATTTGAATTTTGCAAATATTTCGAGAAGTCTAAGAATCTTATAGAAGATAAAATTCACAAACATCTTACTATAATGAGAACTGATGTGCATTCATTAAGAGTAACATACACGAAAAGGTTTTCGTACAGATAAACATATCAATAAAACTATCCGATTGTGAAAGTTTTGATTTTGTAATTGCTCTTATCGTGAGATGAAAATATGGAAAAATTTTCCTAACGATAATAATGATATGTAAAAAACATCGTGTTTCTATACATGTATCTCAAAATGGATGTATCCAAAAAGTCTAAAGCTTTTAGAATAAAATAGTCTCATTTCAACCGTTAGTTGTGTAAAGGTTCATGGCGATGAATTCTTCCGTACATGTATTTTTTACTAGAAGCTCTATGATGCATATAGTGTCAACTCAAGAGTGAATGAACACCTGGGAATGTTTCCTCGTCAGTGAATTTCTTTATCATCTATTATAAGTCATAAGCCATCAGTCGAACATAGAAACAAATCTTCGGAAAGTAGTTCGACCTAAAACACTAGACGATCTTTTTACAGTAATATTTTATTAGTAATGCAACAAACAATACTACAAAAACAATTTTGATTGCTGACAATTTTCCAACTTTGAAGATATGAATATTCGAAAACAGATAATTTTCTTCAGAAATAAATCATACATAAGTATACTAGTTGTTATATATTGGCAGATTTTATGTCATATCTTCATTTCGAAAGTTAGCTCAGACTCGAATATTAAGCAAAGTATGAAAATAATTGATAACTGACTTCTTATAGCATACTTTTGAATCATGTCGATTGCATATATTGGAATTAGAGCCTTAATTGTCATTATTTTTCTATGCATATGATTTTGAGTACAAATTTGTCCAAAATATATTCATCAGTTGAAATTCGTTCTTATCAGCTTCTGAAATTCAGATATCTAGTTAATATTGTCTTTTAAATAGGTTCTCATGATAATCCAACAGTAATACAATGGTGGACAAAGGAAGCATCATCACAAGAAAAACGTCATTTTATTGATTATATTCGTCGCCCTATTGAAGGTCAAAATGAAACAATTGATGGTTTGACATTAGAAAAACATGTCGATAAATATATTTGTTGGTATTTAATACAATTAATCATGCAATCAGCTTCTAATGTAGCAATTATTCAAATACAAGATATTTTAAATGTAGAAACAAGAATGAATGTACCAGGAAGTAGTAAGTCATTCTGGTTCTGGCATAGTATTTTGTTTTTAGTTGATTATTATGTTGTCTATTGATCAACAGAAGATCGTTTTAAAATGATCAATTTACCGATTTGCCCCAGTTCTAACTCGTTCATTACGCAAATTATCTAATGCTTTCTTAGATATTTTTTATCATGAAAAG